GGAGCCTTGGTGATTATCTGTTCACTCCCCCACCCCAACCCTGAAAAGTCCAATTATAAGTTTCAGTTTGGTTACATGGAATTTGGTTTAGTCTTGTCCGTTCCTGTTGGGGTCCAGTGTGGAAATCCAAAGTAGTGGGCTCCTCTAGTTTGTATATCATAGAGGACTGTGATACCGTGACTTTCCCAGGACCACTGCAGACACCATATGTGTGAGGCAGTGGTGATCAGAGTCCTCTGTCTCTCCAGCCTTTGTGATTTCTGTCTGAGGAATTCATTAACTAGCAAGCATAGTATATTCTCTATGAGGGCAGCTCACAGTGGCCAAACTTGCCTTTCACTAACTTCTACAACCATCAAACAACAGCACACCTTTCTTTAGGGCCATGATCCTTGCAGGGCAGTCTTATGGGGTGTGCTGGATAGTTTTACGTCATCTTGGCGCAAGCTAAAGTCATCTGTGTGTAGGGAGCCTCAATTAAAAAAAATGTTTCAAGCCAGGCATGGTGAAACATGCCTTTATTCCCAGCACTCTGAGGGGCAGAGACAGGGGGATCTCTGTGCGTTTGAGGCCAGCCTGGTCTACAACGCGAGTCTAGGACAGACAAGGCTACACAGAGAAACCCTGTCTCAGAAAGAAAAAAAAAAGAAAGAAAATGCTTCCATACGTGCCAGCTGTAGACCAGCTCATTATAGGAGGGGCCATCCCTGGGCTGGTAGTCCTGGGTTCTGTAAGAAAGCAGGCTGAGTAAGCTATGAGGATCAAGCCAGCAAGCAGCACCCCGCCATGGCCTCTGCGAAAGCTCCTGCATCCAGGTTCCTGCCTGATCTCCTTTGATGATGAACTGTGGAGAGGAAGCACAAGCTGAATAAAACCTTTCCTCCCCAATTTGCTCTGTTTCTGGTGTTTCATCACAGCAACAGTAACGCTGGCCAAGACACGGGGCTTCGCAGCCTCTTGAGCCAGCTTCAAATAGTTATAAACAATCTCTCAGTCAACTTGGGGGATCACTTTGGGGAAAGAGATCATCTTCTTCCCCAACCTTAACATTCTTTAGCATCTGGCCCCCTCCAGCCCTGATGACTATGAAGCGTGGGTCTGGCCCCAGTGTTCCTGAAGCCTGCTAGTCACCAAGACGCTCCTTAGCACTTTGAGGCTCTAGTAGGTGTCCTGGATCCTCTTGCTTCGTGACCTTCTCAGAGAGCTTTGGATTCATGCAATTTTGTACAATGTAGATCCAATAGGTTTAGAGCAGGCCTGAGGACTCATATTTCTACTACTTTGTCATCTAAGGTGCTTGGACCCCAGACCCTACAGAGGAGTCCAATCAGGCTGTTAGAACCACTGGGAACTTAAAGAAAAACAAAACAAAACAAAACAAAACAAAACCCCTCTCATGCCTAGACTGCACTCACAAGACGCTGTACAGTCTTGGGGAACTCGGGAAATGATTCTCTTAAATCTCCTCTAAGGTACAGCCAAGATCCCTGCTGTTCAGAGGAGTGTAATAGCCTGGCTGCTACTGCACGTCTGGTCAGCCCACCATCAGAAGAGGCGTGCCAAACACAGCGGCTCACCTCCTGTGACAATTTCTACCCTGTGTTGTGCAGACACACACTTTAAGTGAATAATCCCACCTCATCCTCACAATGGTCCTTTAGGGTCTTTGTTATTGCTATCACAGCTTCATTATCATCACGGCTGTGAGATGGAAACCAGATTATAGTTTATTCCCCACCACAGAGGCAGTTAGGTGAGGGTAACCTCAAAGCCCGGATGACACAAGAGGCCAGGCTGTATTGCCTCTTCCCCACACCTAAACACCACAGAGAACACAATCATCTATGTACTCTGTATGGGTAAAAAGTCACATAAAAATCAAAACACTTAAAGTTTGGCTGTGACTATCACCCACCTTGGTGAAGTCTCAGAGAAAACTTAGGATGTGTTCCTATTTATAGTCCTCTTTTGGGGGGCTGGATGATTTTTGTTTCAGCTAATTTTTCAGCTTTAATTTTGACATTTTTATTGGAAAGTTCCCATAGGCTGCTTTCAGGTTTGAAAGCAGTTTGGTAGCCAAGTATGGACTCTTGGTAGTGGGGGCGCCCAGAGCAGATTAGCTCATGAGGCCTCAGAAGTACGTACTAGAGGACATGGCTCCCCGCATCTTCTTTTTGTGAGTTCCACACTTCCCCATCTAGTTCTTTGAGAAGAAATAATTTTAAGGAAATTCCCATTCAAGAGTGGAAGGTTTTGAGTGCCCAGCAAGCTTTGGCCAGCAGAGGGCAGCCCTGTCTTGTCTTACGGAGCTGTGACTGCGGGGTGTGCCTCCCCAGACAGTCCACTTGGTGACACAAGGCAGTGTTACTCCACACTACCTTCTGAAGACACCCCAGTGTCAGTGTTGATGTGCACATGTGCCACAGTTCTCAGAGCACCTGTTCTAGCAGCACCTGACAGCTGTCTCATGCTAACAGACAGCCAGGAGGCCTAAAAGAAGACGTGAGGGACAGCCAAGCGGACTTGCCCTATTTTTTGTAAAATCTGCACTGCTTGTCCCCCCTTACCCTCATGAAATCATGACTTCTGAAATCATTTAGCATCACCAATAATGACAGTTCAATTTCCCAGAAAATGGGATGTTGCATGAAGCTTTTTAATTTTTTTTTTTTTTTTTTTTTTTTTTAATGAGGGTCATTATGAGCCCTTAAGGAAAAACAAAGAGGCTCTGAACATCTTTTGTGGTACTCATTCCTCCTTACCCTAACTATAAACAGATTCTAGTCCTCTGTTCTCCCGCATGGGTCCAGGGTACCTTGAGGGGATGTCTGTTGCCAGCTGCCATTTGAAAGAGCTGTTGTGCAGTAATCCTTTCAGAAAGCAAGTCTTGTGAGTTAAAGTCCTAGATGGTTCCCAAAACGTTCATACCAGTTTCTCATCTGCATCCAATAAAGGTGGGCAGCAAAGCCAATTTTAGTGCGGCTGATCTTCCATTTTCATTTCCCAAATAATGGGAAATTATTTTAAGAAAATTTCCAGTCATAAACTCTAGATAATTTAATTAGATGAACTGAACAAATCTGTAAGCCATTTTAAAGTTTATTTCCAAATTTTCATGACTACTGTAAACTCGTGTTTTTCTCCCATTTTTGACAATATAGCCTAACTCAGATGTTCTTTGGGTTAAATATATTTCCAACTTGATATTTTCTTTTGTACCTTGTCAAAATTCAGTGACATTATTTCATGTTTTTACTGTGTATAAATTTAAAGAAAAAATTTAATTTACAAAAAGTTTAAACTTTTTTATGTCTCACAAGGATGTCAAATAAACAGCATATTAAAATGTTCTCAAAAAACAAAACAAAACAAAACAAAAAACGGGTGGTGGTGCATGTTTTTAATCCCAGTACTTGGGGAGACAGAGGCAGGTGGATGTCTGTGAGTTCAAGGCCAGCCTGGTCTTCAAAGTGAGTCTAGGATAGCCAAGGCAACACAGAGAAACACTGTCTAAAAAAGTAAGTGCTCAAAGCAAAATTTTCAGTGTCCCGTGCATGCAGACGCCATCCTAACGCAGTAGGTATAACATCAGGGGCCTTGATTTAGCACATGGCTGAGAGCTTCCCTTGGCAGTGTACATGCAGGCCACATGGGAAGCACATTCTATGTGCCCTATGCAACAGTCTCCAGACCCTCAGGGTAAAGTCCAGGCTCCAGTGCTTATTGGTTTGTGGACATGGGACAGTTAGTTATTAAACCTCCCTGTACCTCCATTCCCTCATCCACAAAGTGGGGTGCTGAGGAAGGTACTTAACTTACAGGATGAGATGTGTTAGCATTTGCGAAGCCCCTAGAAAAATATCTACCACGTGATACGTATTGGGTCTCTTCTTTGATTGTCATATTGCCTTATTTAATTTTTACTACACGCTCTTGGGCAGGACCAGTGTCATGGCTATGTGACCTGTGTGCAGTCACACAGGAGCCAGCTCGGTTGAATTCTCTGCTGCTGATGTCTTGGAATTCTTAACTCTGAACAAGGGCTGCCTTCTCTTTTTCTCTGTGGCCCCTGCATAATCTGTCATTTGTCCACCAAAGTAGGTGGCATTATTGTCTCCTATGCTATGTGGCTTTGGGCAAGCAACACCGTCAAAGCTCTCCCCTGTAAACTACAGAGTCTTTATGGGGAGGATGAGAAGAGATCATGTGTCCACAGTGGCAGCACATACAGGCTTGCAGAATTGGTCCTATTTTACCAGCTGCTGCTGAGCCTTAAAGACTAAGCAACATTCCCATCCTTGCTGACAGTTGAAGCTTCTGCCCCCTTAGGGATGCACCAAGACCATAAAGGTTACCTCCAATAAAATCACGGTAGAGCTAGAGGAGGCGAGAGCACAGCCTGCTGTAGGAGAAGCCCTCATGCAGTAAATCTGAGCACTCAGAGAACAAAGAGGAATCCAGATGCCTACTGTGGTTCTGGCACAGTGTTTGGGTAGAGAAGCACACTGGAAATGCATAGAGCAAGACATGGAACACATACCAACTCAAATACTTGTTCATAATAAACTTTACTAGTTTCACAGGTACATCAGCAGGGCAAAGTCTCTATACCATGAGGCAAAAGAAAGTACTAGAAAAATACCTTGTAATTCCTTTGCAAACTCTCAGGTTTTGATTCCTGAGTTTGTTGCTAGCGAGATGTCTTACACTAGCTGTCTAAATATTTTGATAGACTTTTATGATGTGCAACAGTTTTTCTAATAAAAATTTAAAATTTAACAAATTATTTTATAATCACTCTAGAACATAGATTAAGAATCTGTCTTTACAGAAGATCAAACCTTCTAAAGAGCACTATGAAGTTTGCTTTGACAAAATATATTAATGTAAAATTATTTTTTACCATTGCAGAATTAAGACTAGATACTTCTTCGCCCAGTGTTTGCAGTTCAAACAAGCTGTTGGAATTCTCTTGGTGGTACATGTACTCAGCTGTGATTTTATATCCATCCTCCAAACCTCAGCTTGTTGGGTAGGTACACTCTGGAAAGATAGTCTGAGGACAGGCAGGTCAAGGCTTGGATCTCTGCCTTCATCTTAGAGTCTGCCATCATTTCCATCTGCCATAAGGAACCACAGTGTTACCAGTATGTCTCGGGAATTGAAGGCTAGACATCTTCAGACCCACTAGAGCACCTAGAGTGGCTATTGGTCAAGATGGTAAGGTGTGGGCCTCATGACTACAGTGCTTTTGTTCTGTGACTTTTATGAGGTTTTTTTTTTTTTCTGTTCTTTATTTCTTATAAAGTCAGCAACTTTATTGTGTGGCTTTTTATTTTATTTTTAATTAATTTATTTAATATATATGAGTACCCTATCTGCATGTATACCTGCATGCCAGAAGAGGGCATCAGATCATATTATAGATGGTTGTGAGCCACCATATGGTTGATAGGAATTGAACTCAGGACCTCTGAAAGAGCACGCAGTGCTCTTAACCTCTGAACCATCTCTTCAGCCTTTTGATTCTTTTCTTACCCATAAACTGTTACAGCATTACTCCATCACTGATAAAGTGACATAACTGTGAAGGACAGACACCTTATCTGCTGATCTCCTTCATTAGAGCTATTCATGTAATGTAATTTCAACAAACTATTATTGTCAAACTACGCTGGTATCAGTTTGTTGGTCACATAGAACTTCAAGAAAATAAGTCAGATTCAGAAGGGCAAATAGTGCACATTTCCTTTCATGTACAGAGTCTAGAGTTAAATATATGCATGTAGGGCATCAATATAGAAGAAGTGATATGTTGGGGAGGCTTTAACAGGGGAACAAAAGCAGGTGATGGAGGAGGGAAAAGCAAAGGCTGTAAGTCTCTTCTTACACATGGACTCTAGGTTTAACATGTAAGTATGTGTGAAAGCAGAAGGGGGACCATGTTGGGAGAAAAATTGGACCTGTCTTCAGGCATGACCTGCAGAGGTGTGTGTGTGCGGGGGAAGATGAGCTGAGTACCATGATGTATATGCATGAAATGCCATAATAAACCAGTTATCTTGTACACTAACTGAGAATATTAATTAAAAATCAGTGACAGTGATAAAAAACAAAACAGAAGTTCAAGGATGTGCTGAAAGTATCATGTGAACGGCTACCACTACAGTGAAAAGAGAAAAAGCACACGACATTTGCATTTTATAAAACACACCACCTACCTCTTTTCTCCAGAAGGGCTGGTAGGTAATGTAAGGCCTCCTCAGGATACTGTCCAGTTTCATCTGGTCACACTTTGTCAGTGGGATCAAACTCTTCTTAGGTATATTTAACCTAGAAAAATTGGATTGGAGTGATCAGTGAAAAAAGGGTGTTCCTGTAACACATCTGCTTTTCCTGCATTTATGATGTTATATCAACAAACTAAGGAAAACAAATGAGAAAAATCAGTCCGTTGCTCCCTCTTAAGCCCAGCATCTGGGGGCTTTGTGACATAAACCAGGGAGTTTCCAAGTTCAACCTAGAATTTGTGTTATCAGAGAAACAGATTCATTCCTTTCTCCCTCTCTCACCTTTGTGAGATGACAACAGATAGGCAGACACCAGCTATTGAACAAAAGCACTGAATGTCAGATACACTGAGCCAAGCCTGTGTATGAGCCAGACTTTGGATGAGCCAGACTTTTCTGTTCCTGTAGCCCTGAGCTCTGGCAGGAGTGGCTAGCGGCTGACACTCAGAAGTCAGGAAGTGGCAGCCCACTGAGCACTAGAATCTCGGCATGGAGGACACATGTCTATTATCTTCTTATGCAGGAAGCCCACTTACCTGGTTTAGAGGCTGAAAACAGTAGAGCGATCATGGTTTACAGCATAATCCTGCTTTTGAAGCTCCGAGTCTGAGGTTTCCAGGTAGGCTCTAATTTCAGCCTTCCTCAGTTTCCCCACAATTAGAAGCCCTTGCCAGTGGCAGTTCCTGTCTGGCTGATGGAAGGGAGCCTAATGCTGCTCTTTGCGGCCTCTTTCCTTTGATCACGTATCTAACTGGAGTAGCTCTGAGGGCACTGGAGGGTTTATAAGCTGCCGCTGGAGTTCCTCCAAGACCTCTGCCTTAAAAGTCACTGGGCCACATGTCCCAAATCTGTTTTTGAAATGGCCTTCATGCAAATTGGTCACTCCAAGGGATGGTGGCCATGATAAGCACACTGCACTGGTTGGAACTCTGTTTCTTCCTTTGATGGAAACATTCAGCACTCCAAGGGGAATGTTTCCTTCATGCTCTGTAGCTTTATGGTCTCCATGTTCAGGAAATAAGCATCTACAAAGACAGCCCACTCCCTCAGGAAATACCACACATACTCAGGTTCCTCTCACTGGGAAAGAAGAACAGCAAGAGGTTGCTTAAGGGCTGGTGGGATGGGATGGCTCAGTGATTAAGAGTGTATGCTATTCTTGCAAAGGACTCAAGTTTGATTATAGCATCTGTGTTGAGTAGCTCATAACTGCCTGTAACTCTAACTTTGGGGGTTCCAAGGCTTTAGGCCTCTATGAGTACCTGCATTCACATACACACCCCCAGGACCTGCACATAATTAAATACATATTTTTAAAGTATTTGGAAAGCAGTGTATCCCCATGGTGAGGGTCAGGTGGCTCACTCTCCAGCGAGACTAAATCAACAAACCTATTGAAGGCAGAGGAAGCCTCAAAACTGGACACACACACTTTGACCCACCAAGACTCTGGGAATCCTCAGAGACTACATAAAGATTCAGGTAAAGGTTTAATTTCCATAGGACCAACAGTCTTGGCAGAGCAGCTGTGAGGGATAGCCTAAACAAATGCTGGCCCAGGAAGAGCTGAAATTCAGAAGTAAGAGCTGTTTCCATGAGGAAAAGTACTTACTGGTAAAAAATAACAATAATAATAATAAAAATTATAATCAATCACACTGTGTTGTACACAAAAACCAGGGGACAAAGAAACAGTTGAAGACCTTGATGTTTTTGGGGAAAGGTCACGGCTATAGGCAGAAAATCACCAGCCACCAGGACTGCCGTTCCTCGGATGACCCTCAACTTTAAGTGGCGGAAGTTCCCAAACTCTGACACTAAGACGTGATCACTGTACGAAGCTGGGATGCTTGAGATCAGGACTGTGATTTAATTCCATTCCAAGCCTCACACTTGATATCTGTGTTTATGAGACAGGGTCTCACTCTGGAGCTCAGGCTGGCCCCCAATTCAGTCCCCTGAGCTTAGGATTATAAGTATGTTACCATGCCTCTCTATGCATTATTCCTTAAAAAAAAAAAAAAAAAAAAAAGAGTGTACAAGGTTTTGACCATAGTTGTAAAAATAATTGTAGCTGGCTGAAAGTGAAATTAACTAAATTCATTAAGTTTTGTTTTGTTTTGTTCTGTTTTTTTTTTTGAGACAGGGCCTTTTTTAGTAGCTCTGGCTGTTCTCGAATTCACCATGCAGACAAGACTGGCCTTGAACTCATAGAGACTTGCCTGTCTTTGTCTCCCAAGTGCTGGGATTAAAGGCATGTACCACCATGCCTGGCCTTCATTAACTGTTTAAATAACAGAAACCCCAAGAAACTGAATTCATAATTGTAGACAGCCAGTGCTTTTTCTAGCAACATCAGGCATATCATACACAGCAATGAATCATCTTACCTTTTAATATCAGAAGGGAGGAGACCAAGCCATCTGATTGTTGGGACGGTGAGATTGTGGGCTTCGAAAGACATGGACTGAAATAGAGCAGAGCTGTGTCAGGTGAGCTGATGAGGGCACTGGCTTTCTGTTCTGACAGCAGGATGAGGTGCTCTGGACCATTTCTTTCTTAATTTCTCTGGCCTGCACTCACTTCTTCCCTCTCTGCTCTGCCACACTTCTGCTATGAAGTTGGCTGGGCTACAAGTTCATTTGAAGATGCAGGCTCAGCAGGTTCGGAGGGAACCAGGATTTGTAACTCTACATGTTTTCAAGAGGTGGTGAATTTGGTGACTGTGGGCTCCAGTGTGGGCTTGATGATGTCTTCCCTTTTCTCACTGTAGCATCCACAGTGGAGAAGTCAAAACTGGAACCTGCCCATGACATTTATGGTCCATCTGATGCTCTTTGGGAGCAGAACCGGCAGATGGTTATTCGTCTTGCACATAACTTGTCCCTCTGTTACCTGTGGGTAAGCTGTTTGATGCTGTGAGCTGGGCCTACACCACTGAAGCTCAGGTTGGCTCTTGAAGAGATCACCATTTCCCCTAGGATATCTGGAGAGCCTTGGCTTACTAGGAGGTAAACCACCCCGATGAATGTAAGTGTGTTTGGTGTGCAGAAGGGCAGATGTGCTTTCTGTACTCACCATGGATCCATACTTATAGATGCACATTATCTCGATGCCTGTTGAGAGCGAGCTTTAAGATTAGATTCAGATCACAGCTATAGAATCTGCACTCTCAAATTGCTAAAAACATCTAAAATTTTTATTTCTGTGAACATTACCAATGAAAAAATATGTTCTCAGTTTCATACGGTAAACATTGCCTCAAATGATTACAGCCTTTAACCTGTCTGTATTACTAGTCCCTTAAACTTATTTACTTACTGATTACCACACCGGAGATTGAACCTAGGATTGAACTTAGATTGAACTTGCATACTAGGAAAGTGTGCTACCACCAAGCTATCCCCTTGGCCGGTACAATATAGTACGCAAATGTTCTAAGAGCAGCAATACAATCACAAGCATGACTTAGTCACCACTGTTGTCCCAAGTAGCCCAGGAGAGATTACCATGTGGATCAGCATCTACCAGTGTGAAAATAGGAATATGAAATGTGTCCCATAGCTTCTTCACCAAGAGCCTTGTGTTCAGATCTGGAACACCCTTTCCCTGAAAGCAGACAGAATCAGGCATTGTGATCTCAGAAGAGGAACCATATTTCATCAATACTGACAAGTAAGACCCCAACTTGACTTCCGGGTGGGGTGTCAGGTGATGATAGTGAGGAAAATGTGCAGTGTGCAACAAGGAGAAGGCGCCACATGCTCCCACTTTTGCTTTGGGTATGCATGTTTGAGGACCCCATCCCAAGGAAACATTTCATTAGGAACAGAAATAATAAAGGCCCTCGTACCTAAAGGTGCTCACTGTGGTGTTATTTAAAATGGCAAAGGGAGGGTCAGTGAGATGGCAGTGAGATGGCTAAGCAGGTAAAACCTGATGACCTGAGTTCAAACACTGGGACCCAAATGATCCAAGGAAAGATCAACCAGATACTTGGCAATTGTCCACATTCTCTATTGCTTCTTGGCTCTTTCACCTAAGCAGATATCACTAGGATTTCCTTTTGTCACCCCAAGTGTCCATGCCAAAACCACACTTGAAACTTCTCCCATAAAGACTGCTTTTGTCTGTCCTGTGGCATGACAACAAGGTGCCAAAGATCAGACCCATGTAGACTCTCTCCTCAGAAGCAGCAGTCACCTACTCCTTCTGAAATGCCCTCCATTCAGTCCTCCCCCTCAGTCACCCTCTTGCATCCTCATACTGAGATAAGCCTGAACCTCCCAAGAAGCCACCTGACTCTCACGGCTGCCATCTGACCCACAGGCGGCCACATAGCCCGGAGCGTGCAAAGCCTTCTGTGAGACTATCTTTTTGCTCAGGATGCTAGGGGACCGGCCAGGCCTTGCAAGGCTCTACTAGCTGTCTGACACCTCCTCATAGACTCTCCTTGCTCTGCTGAGGCTGCACTTCTGGTCAACCTAACAAACTAGAGCACTGTAAACAGCTTTCTTCTCCAAGGAGCAGGTTTTCTACAGCTATGTAAAGGCAGGCTGGGAAGAGATCTAACTGCCCACAATGGACTAATACTTCTGTCCCTCCTAAACTCATGTCAGACCCCTACCCTTCAATGTGATGAGTCAGGAGATAGGGCTTTGGGATCCCCTGACTGGGTGGAAGCTCTTATGTAAGGGAAAGGCTTTCTCCCTGTCTCCGTCTCTTACATTGTCTAGCCATGTGAACACTCAATGAGAAGACAGCTTCTTAGAGACCAGGAAGTGGACCCTTAGCAGACAGAATCTGCTAACACATTGACCATGACCCCAGGCTGGAGAACCTTGAGAAGCAGACATGCTGTTTCAGTCATGCTGCCTGCTGCATGTCTGGGCTAGCTCTGTCACTGGCTGAGATACTGCCTTTTGCTGAGCTACCCTGTCTTTCTGCTGGAGTCTTGACTATTCTTGCACATGTATGTTTGGAAAGAGCAAGCTCCTTTAGACTGAACCAATGAATCACCTGGGATACAGGCGCGAGTGAAGGAGAGCAGGCAGAGATCCTGTCGGCTCCCCACAGCCCTGGAGGAACCCACTGCAGCAGGAACCGTGTGAGGGAGACACAGGAGCATGAAAGCAGAGCCTGTTTTGGAAAACTGCCGGTGTTTAAGAATAAAGACTGTAGTCTGAACCTGAGTTGGGTTTGAGGACATTGAAGTAGGCACCTTGGGCACTTCTGCTCTGTGATGCTAGGTGATGCATTGTATTGGACAGGGACATGATGCACAGATGTTGTTGGACCCTTTTTCCAGGCACCACGGTGGTGAAGCGAGGCAGATATCCTACCGTGACCATGATGCACGGGGACATCCTGCTGCAGAAGTTGTCATCCAGGAGTCGTTGAAATGTTGCATCCTTCTCTACTATTAACAGAAACTTCGCATCTGTGATCAGATCTGTGGCGCTAAGGCTGGGAAACCATCAGCACCGCACCCGAGCTTAGACCCCACTACATCACAACACTGCACACCCCGGCTCAAGGGCCACAGCAGGGAAAAGGTTTTCTTTTTGCCCTCTGGGATCTATATTCACCCAGGTGTACAGACGCCTGCCCTTACTCTACAGTGAGCTGTTGGGAGCCCTGACAAGGGGTCTGCAGCTGTTTGTCTCTGTAGCCTAAATTGTTACCCAGCAGGAAGGCAGAGCTCACTGAAGAAACATGCCGGTTTAAACAGTTTTACCACTAAAGGATACTCTGCATTCCTTCGATGTTAGACGGCACAGCAGTAGCCTAAGTTAAAAAAAAAAAAAAAAAAAAACAGTTTGTAAGTCAAAAAACATAAAAGGTAGGAGTAGCTATACTTATAATTCATGCCAACAATCCATGGTTTCGGTCTTCTTTGGTGGGTAGTCTAGAGACTGTTACTCGGGGAGAATCAGCCCAGCCCTCATAAGAGCAGGCACATGGTCCTGGCATCTCAGTCTGGGATGGTTGCGGAAGCTTTGCGCTTCTCCTTGGGTACCGTCTTTCTCCACGTATCTCGAGTTGTCTGGTTTAAGCAGACAAGCCGGAGGAGAGGGTCGTGGTTCAGGCCTCAGCAGCATTGCTCCACCCTGCCCTGTTGGAGCGTCCCACATCCACACTGCTGCTTTAGTGCGATGTATCGGCAAGGGCTCAGGGAGGAAATGTGTTCACTTCAGGGTCACACAGATTCTGTAAATAGCCGTGCCAAAAAGGCCGTGCCACAGGCTACTTGAAAAGAGCGGCATATTTCAAAAGAGAGAGTGAGTCTATTTATTTCAATATGACAATCCGCATAAGAAGACTCTGTGCTTAATGCAGAACTCCCATAAAGCACACGCCTGTTCATTCATCGGTTTTATTTTAATGTCTCTGGGGCAAGCAAGACGGCTCAGTGGTACTTGCCTGATGGCCCGAGTTGGATCCCAGGAGCCACAGTGGAAGGAGAGAACAATTTTTGAAAGGGGTCCTCTGACCTCCGCACTTGCGCCGTGGCACCCACGCACATACCATGTTTGCATTCACATGATAATAATGTTTTTTTTACCTTATCGTGAAATTACACAGTAAAATGAGGAGGAGAGCCAGTTCAAAATGGAGGGCTAAGCAGCGCTGAGCAGGTGAAGAGGAAGAATGCTCACCACGGTAGTACAGGCGCACTGCACTGGGGTACCATCGTCCTCCGTGTATCTCAGGTTGCCAGCAATCAGTCCCTTGGATGTGGATAGCTGGAAAGAAAAATAACACATTTGAAACCATCCCACTAATGGATTTGCTGCAACAAGCTTCTCCTCAGGCTTACCTGTTACAATGTTTGTATTTATTTATTTATCTATTTTTATTTGTTTATTGTTTTTTTTTTTTTTTTTTTTCAGACAGAGTTTCTCTGTGTGGCCTTGGCTGTCCTGGACTCACTTTGTAGACCAGGCTGGCCTTGAACTCACAGAGATGCACCTGCCTCTGCCCCCATGAGTGCTGAAATTACAGGTATGCACCACCACTCCTGGTTTCAAGATATTTGTGTTTTAGCTTAGATGAGAATCTAGGTAGAAATGAAGGAGAAAACATTTATGTATTTAGAAAATAAAAATATTTAATAAGGCCCCAGTTTTGGTCTATTCGACTAAAGGAGCACACTGGAAACAGATTAAGGTTGTGGTGAGAAAATGTAGTATCAAATGACATGTAAAAAGGACAGAGACACTTCTTCCCCCAGACAAGATTTCACTGTGCGGCTCTGGCTGGCCTGCCTGCCTCTGCAAGACTCTGTCTGCGACAAAGGGTAGCTACCATTTTGTTTTGTGGCAGTGCTTTGTACTCAGAGTCCTCACCACATGCAGGCTCCTCCTGGGCACTTTCAGCATACAGGAAATGTCATCTATAATGTTGTCCACTGTAGCCTGGTTCCCAAAGAGCTGGCTGTCAGTGTAGTATATGTCTCTAGGAAAATGCAAGGTCGACATTGTGAAGAAGCCATATGTAGAGCACTATGTGGAGAGCTATTACTGCAAGAAACACAGCATGCAAGGAGAGCTACTTACTCCCTGGGGTCCAGGCTTCGTGGCTTTTTACAGCATATTTGAAAAGTTAGTGGGGGCTGGCTGGATGGCTCAGTGGTTAAGAGCATTGGCTGCTTTCCCAGAGAACCTGGGTTCAATCCCCAGCTCCCACATGGTGGCTCACAAGGGAACTAACACCATTTTCTGGCTTCTGCAGACACCAGGAATGCATGTGGTACACAGACAGACATGCAGGAAAAAACACCCATACACAGTAAATTTAAAACTAGAAAAGTTAATTTCACTAAATCTCACACTGCATTTTTTTGAAGATGAATTTGCAAGAACAATATATTTATTTACCTCTTGGTCGCATAAGTGTTGCTCTGTATTAATTTATAAATCATGGACAATATTTTCAGAATTAGAGCTGAAAAATAAGACATAAAGAACAATTTACTTCTCTCTGTGTCTTTACTAACTTGAAAGGTACTGTTATCAAAAATAATTTTAACTGTCTCCATTGTCTTTAATGCTTTACAAATTATCTTTCTAAAAGAAAAGTTTAGGTGAAGATTAATTGTCCAATGAATCAGGTAAAATCAAGCGCTTTCTGGGTAGCAAACCAGACTCATGTCCTCCTGAACATGGGCCTAGAACGTCAGGCTTACTTTGAGTGGCAGCATGCTCACATGTTACTAACAATGACAGGCTCTAGAAATTTATTTTCAGGTCAGGATGCTCAAAGCCATCCAATTAGGAACAGCTAAATTTTAGAAATAACTCATTTATTCTTGATTACTCAATTCCATGAAAGATTAATTTAATAATTTATTTATTTTGGTTTTTCAAGACAGGATTTCTCTGTGCAACAAGCCCTGGCTGTCCTAGACTCACTTTGTAGACCAGGCTGGCCTTAAACTCACAGAGATCCGCCCACCTCTACCTCCTGAAGGCTACGATTAAAGGCATGCGCCACCATGCCGGGCTACTTACCAAATTTTTTAACTGATTTTAGTGAATCACTTTTAACTTTTTTTGTGGTACACTGAGGGATCATCTGAAGGCCAACAGAATCTTCAAACCTGTAGTTTTATTCAAATCAAAGGAACAAAATGAGAAGGGCTTAATTCCTGCGTATCGGAACACACACTCGGTGTGACCTTCTGCATATCATGTGCACATGTGCAGAGGCCAGAGGCCGACCCTGACGATTGCTCTGCAGGCACCACCCATCTTGTTTTATGAGACAATCTCTGTCTCCTTGTCCTGAAGCTCACCAGTTACCGCAGACTGGGTGGTCGCTGAGCCCCAGGAGACGCCTGTCTCCACCTCCCCAGCCCTGGGATTACAGGCATATGCTAGAGTTTGCTTTTATAGGGGCGCTGGGTAGCCTAACAAAGCTGCTCCCGCTTGTGCGGACAGCAAGCTCTTCAACCACCCGGCCATCTCCCACATTTCCTCCCTGTGTAGGCGTTGGAGCTCAGGAACACCCTTGGGTTTAAGTGGTTGCAGGTAGTTTCTAGATTAGCTAAAGTTTAGGCACACTAAACATCTTTCAGTATGGAGTGTGTGTGTGTAGTTGTTTGTTGGGGAGACAGTGTGTTAAGTACTTATACATACTTTACCATTATGTATTTTACTCATTTTGCCATTATTCATCCTCAGTTAATAATTTGGCTAAATTTAATAATATTTTAGAAATATTTTATTTCAATTTACCCACAGTGACATCATGTGAACTGCTGACATCAATTTACTAAACTGAACCTCCCAGGCTCTCCTAAAGGTGGCAGAAGGCACCAGGCAAACATTCCCACGGCAGCTGCTTTGAAGCTACGTAAAATCCATCTTTCAAAAACATTGTCTAGGTGTACGGTTAATGCTAATTATACTGATCTTAAAAGAATATTTACGAAGGGTCTCCCTACCCCATCCCTCTATTTCTGTAACTTTTACAAAGCCTGAGAGGCATTTGTCATTTGGTAGAGAAGGCTATACAGGCTAGAGAAAGACAAAGCTAGGCTGGAGAATTTGGATAAAACTCCCGGACCAAGCAGTGGTAGGCAGGGGGTCCCGAGTTCAGGATGCTCACACTGTCACGTGTCATCACTGGCTGCAGCTGCCTGAGCAGAGGACAAGCTCACCCCAGGTGGTTTCCCCAGTGTGGCTGTTTTGAGCAAGGGCAAACAGACTTTGAACAGTGCAGTTCTAGTCACCAGCCTGCTTGTCTTTGCCTTATCTTTCACACTGACTTCTAGTTTATACAGCCCTCCTGTGGGGCATGGATTTTGTAAATTTGCTAATGTTTATGGAGGTAAGCAAAGAAGATAAAAAGAATGTAAAAAAAAAAAAAAAGAATAACGTGCGACTATAACACTAATTCAAACAAATTGAAATAACAACATAGGTAGTTCATCTTAAAATAAAACTGCAGGGGCCAGGCATGGTGGCACACGCCTTTAATTCCAGCACTAGGGAAGCAGAGGCAAGCAGATTTTTGTGAATTTAAGGCCAACCTGGTCTATCTTGTGAGTTCTAGGCAAGCTGGGTACTATAGTGAGCCCTGTCTCAAATAAAACTTCAGGGGCTGGAGAGCTGGCTGGGCAATTAAGAGTGCTTGCTGTTCTTACAGAGGACTGAAGTTCAGTTCCTAGCACCTACACCACGTGGCTTCCCAAATGCCTGTAATTCCAGCTCCAGGGGATCTGACACCCTTTCTCTTTCCAGTGGCACCCACATGCCCATGCACTTCCAGGTACACACACACACACACACGCACGCACGCACGCACGCACACAAAACCTTTTTAAAATGTAGAAATAAAATTACAAAATGCCCACATTATATTTTCCCAGCTTGATCTGTTGTCTATGGTGAAGGCAGGTACTTCATTTCTTGCCAAGCTTTTGATTATGTCTTGGATAATATTTTCTATAGCTGTAAGGACCTTAGAACTGAAACAATAAACACACCATGATTCAATTTAATAGCATGTAATATTCCCAGATCAAAACAAAGACAGCTCCCACCACCACCACCACCTACAATAACAGGGTTTCTCTGCGTAGCACTGGCCATCCTAGAACTCACTCTGTAGACCAGGCTGGTCTTGAACTCAGAGATCTGCCTGTCCCTGCTTCCCTAGTGCTGGGATTAAATTGCATGCGCCACCACCACCAGGCACAACTTCTTTATTTCATTAGATTTTTGTTTTTGTTTCCTCTTGTTTTTGGAGACAAGGTCTCACAAGGTAGCTGAGGCTAGCCTGGAACTCACCATGAAGTTCAGGATGGCCTCAAACCCACAATCCTGCTTTTGTCTCGGTGTTGGCCACAACAACTCCCCTCTGTTTGTGTTTTTTAAGCCTTGGAAACACATGTCAGTAACCATCTCTCCTACTACATTCTGACCTCAGCATGCTCTCAAACAACGGCCCACAGTGGGTACTTACAAAGACATTAAATTTACCTGGAAATTTGTCTTTCAAATCAACCCTTTTCCATTAATGACAAGGTAATATAACTTACAAATGCATTTTTTATTTGCTCACATTAACTTACTTCGATGTCGCTGAACTTGAATACAGACTTGGCTTAAAATACTACTGTTAAATGTTTTAACTGAGGATGATGTAAGACTAGCTTTGAACTTCCTTCTCAAGAATGCACTGTATAAACCTTAACATAGACACACACACACACACACACACACACACACACACACACACACACACATCTTCTTGTAACATATTGCCCTAACTGATCTTATGCCTTAAAAATTAAACATTTTTAAATTTTAGTGATTCAAAAGGAAAAAATTTAATCCCTACCAGGAAAGAAATAGTGAGTTTTGTACTAAATGGTTGACTTGGCCACTTAAAATCATGCCACATTACCACAAAATATCAAGACTAAACCCAGTTTTCTGTCAGCTGGCTGTTAATATCACAAACCATCAGCTTCAAAAAAAATGTCATTTTAAGTAACATTAGCATACTGTCTAAGGAGGGAAACCAAGTTAAACATGGGAGATGGGCAAAATGCTGAGTTTTAACACCCACACAATTTTTGATGTTTCCACTGGGGGAAAAATAGATTTTTAAACATTTAGTATTTCCTAATACAGTAAAGACTAATGACTAATTTTTTTTTTCAACGCTTGAACAGTTTGGGAAAAATACTGGAAACATATAATCAAGTTAAACCACTTTTTTGTTGTCCTCACAGAATTCTCGCCATCTCCTTTCTCTCTTCTAAATTCTCCCACAAACTAAATCCTCTTGTAAAATTTGTTTGCCCAGCTGGGTACAGTGGTGGCGCATTCCCAGCACTCGGGGAGGCAGAGGCAGGTGGTTCTCCACGAGTTTGAGGCCAGCCTGGTTGACAAAGTGAGTTGAGGACAGCTAAGGCTACACAGAAAAACCCTGTCTCGGAAAAAAAAAAAAATGCCTTCGGGGTTTTGGGTAGCTGGTGTGGGTTTAAAATAAAAGTAATGTGTTTAAGATGCAAATTAGTAATAAATGAGAAAGAAAAGGAAGGACAGCTGTGCATCACAGAAATGCCTGTTCTATAATCATTGGTGGTAGGAGAGTGTCTGTAGTTGATTTTTAAATAAGCCACTTAAAATATGTTCATCTGCTCCTTACAGAAAAGTGTCTTATTATAAATCACTTAAAATGCGTTAATGTCCTTGTTATTTCTGAGAAACCAGCGGCAGTTCAGAGTGCAAACCCTTTTCACTCTCTCTCTTCTCATCCCTCACCCCAAATCCCCAAACATATATATATTATTTTTATAATATATATTAATATATAATGTATATTAATATATATCAAGATAATATATTAATATGTATTAATATTATAATACATAACATATTATAAATATAATATATATTATATATAATATATTATTTTATATAATATATATATATTAATTTTTAACACTGGGTTTCTCTGTCTAACAGTCCTGGCTGTCCTGGAACAACTTTAAAAACCAGGCTGACCTCAAAATTCACAGAAATCTCTGCCTCCTGAGTGCTGGGATTCAAGGCATGTGCCACCATGACCGGTTTTCATAAAAACTTTTTTTTTTTTTTTTTTCCGAGTTCGAGTTTATAGACCAGCCCTGGTCTATAAAGCGAGTCCTGGACAGCCTAGGCTACACAGAGAAACCCTGTTTCGAAAACCAAAAACAACAAAATTTTAAAGATGAAACAAAGCTAAATCATGTCTCAAACTCCCTGTCTATACAGGATGCTGAGAAACTGAGGAACTAGGCTAGAGGGATGTGCCTGGAACGTTCTAGAAAACACCTGGTGGGTTTTGGGAAGTGGTCGCCAGGATTTTTGAGTTCAGAATACGGATTAAGGGCAGGGAGTCCTAGGGAGGGCCGATTTCGGGCCTCTGTCGTGGCCTCCAACATCCTCCTCACAGCGGCCACCTCGGCGCCATGAGGAACCGTCCGGGGCTTCCCATGGCCCTGAGGAGCTGCTGTACCTAGAGGCCACTTGGGTGGCCTCGGCAGGGGTCTCCCCTGTGCCACTCTTCACCATGGCCAACAGGGAAGCCCTGTGACGATCCAGGGCGTCGAAGAACGAAGTCTCAGGCCCCATAGGCGCAAACGCCATGATGGCCGACACCCGCAAGCCGTTCTCAAGCCTCCCGGCTCGGCGAACCTTCCGGTGTTCTGGCCATGCGCATGCGCGCCACACCACGGACCTCTAGGCAGAGTGCGCAGGCGCACAGGCCTCTGAGGCGCCCAGCACTGTCCAGGGAGGGCCTGGAGCTCTCAGATGCAGATCTAGCCAGTGTGGAGGACCAGTGGGGTCGAGGTTTCCCTGGCCTGATAATTCGGTGGAAATAATATTTGCAAACCCCTTTTGTGAGGTAATTTGGGGGAAATAATGTTTACAGCTTTTTGCTAGGACGGTCATGGTGAGTGGAAGCACTCATCTGGTTTCATGGAAGCTTTGCTTCCCACTTCCGTACCACGTTCTTCCACCTGCCTCCGCCTCCTGAGTGCTGGGATTAAAGGCTTTTCTAATAATGTTTGGGACTTGCTTTTGTTTAGGAAGTTTTTGGGGCTGGAGAAAAAGCTCAGGGCTAAGAGCCTTAATGGACTTGCGGAGAGCCTAGCTTCAGTTCTTAGAACCCACATTGGGCGACTCAAAACTGCCTGTAACTCCAGTGCCATGGGACCTCATGCCCCTAGCCTTTGTGGGTTCCTGCACGCATGCGGTACACACACACATACACACACACAAATATTTTTTAAAAAGAAATTAATTTTTTAATATAAAAAAGGTTTATTTGAAAATGGGATTTCTTTTCCCTAAGCTTTAAGTGAATATCGCTTCTTCTCGCAGACTTCTCTATTCTCTCTGAGGCTTCTAGAGCAGAAGGCAGGATTTCCTAAGTCCTGGGAAGGACCCTTGACTCTCAGGACCTTGATAAAGACTAGAGTCTGGGCTGAACTGAAACACTGGAGCAAGGTGGCTTGAATTAAGGTGCATGAATGGAATGCTGGGATTGATCCCAGAAGAGCCACCTGACCATAGGCCCCACTGGATACTTGTTTTTTTTTTTTTTTTAATACAAACTAGTTGCTGAGTGGAAATAACAGTTTGTTGTTGTCTACACTGACAGTTGCCTCTCTCTCTCTGTGTGTGTGTGTATGTGTCTGTGTGCAAGACCTGTGTCTTCATTATTATCACAGTGCTTCCTGTTCCTCTCCTAGGCTAAGCATCCTGGTTACTGGGGGATGTGGAAGCCAGGGCTCTGTCCTCAGGAAGCTCACAATCCACGGAGAGGCAGGGACTGGGCATACACATGTGAACCCTCAGTTAAGTTGACCAGAAGATGGGTACACTTAAAATGAGTCAACATCCCTAACAGGAAAACTCATTGTTTTCTGGATGGAGAGACTGGGGCTCAGAAAGGCTGGGTGGTGCACGCAAGGAGGGGCTGCCAGTAGGTTTTCAAACCAGGAGGGAGACTTTGAAGCCAGGTTTCATGTCAAATCTTTAGGAACTGAGTTGCGTTCATGGGTCTGGCTCAGGGTGGATCATCGTTTTTATAGGGTTCTTCCTGGCAGAATTAGCCCTTTGGTCTGGGTGGTGTTTTTGTTGTTTTGTTTTAGTTTTAGTTTTCCTTCCAGAGGAGATCCCCACAGGCAGGCAAGCTTCCATCTATTGCCCCCAGAGAGGAGCCAGCTAGCAGCAGAAGGGCCTTGAAGAAGGAGGGCAAGGCAGCATCATGGAAATACCTCTCTTGCTCAGTTCCCTTTTTTGTCCATTGGAGACAGATCTGTGTCACAGCTGGCTACAGACTCCACAGGGAGCTGACAGCCAGCAGATGAACACCTAAACCCGCTGTTCCTGTGGGAGAGACTCAAGGTTCAGGTGCCTGGCAGGGGTTGCCACCTAGATGACAGAGGTGAGGGGGAGGGAGTGCTCTGCCAGCAGCTGCGGCTCTGCTCTGCCTCTGCCCTGCAGGCATCCTGCCTGGCCCTGAGAGGGGTGGCCAAGCAGCGCTGCGAGCCTGCTGCAGCTGTTTACAGCACCTGCACTTCAAAGGCAGCCTCCCAGCAAAACACATTCTGCTCCAAGCAAGCTGTGGCCAGCCTCTCTGGCAAAGGCTAACTGTCTCTGCTTTTCATGGGCTGAGTCCTTTTCATCCCCGGTTCTCTGAGCATTTCCCCAGACTCCAGACTCCATTAGGAAGACGTCTTAGTTTCTCTCCCTGCTGCTACAATAAAATACCTCCACAAGAGCAGTTTAAGGGAGAAAGGGCTTATTTTACCTGGCAGTCCAAGATAGTCAGTCATGGAGAGGAAGTTAAGGCAGCAGGAGCATGAAGAAGCTGGTCCCATGGTATCCACAATCAGGAAACAGGGACAAATGTGTGTGGGGAGCCTCAGCTTGATTAACTTGTTTTATTCTACAGTCTAGGATCCCCTGGCCAGAGAATAGTCCTACCCAATTAAAATGGACCTTCCCCCGTCAAGTAACTTAATCAAAATAATTGTCCACTGGAGTTGGAGATGTGTGCTCTTCCAGAGGAGTGGGTTTGATTCCCAGCACCCATGTGGCAGCTGACAACTATCTATAACTTTAGTTCCAGGGGATTCAATGCCCTCTTCTGGCCCCTGTGGGCACCAGGTACCCAAGTGGTGCACAGACATCCGTGTAGTCACATCACTCATGTAGGCACTGGTTTTTCAAACAGTTCTCATTTGGGGGCTTCCTTAAAGCCCATACCTCCCTTCCAACTGGGTAGGGTCCATACGATTATTTTTGGGGCAATACCAATCTCAGTTATTAGGCTATCCTGAAGTCCAGGTAACGCAGCAAGCCGTCCTCAGTCTGCCTCCTCCAGGCCGCTGTACCTTCCTTCTCCCACGGGGCTATCATATTTATACCCCTCAAAATCCTCAGAATTCAACTAACTCCAACTGGCAAAGACCATGCCCTGCATGAGGCAATTATCAGCTGTGGCCAAACTAAAATCTTACATGTAGGATTATAACAAAAACATGTTTACATAACATACCAAGTTTTTAAAAACACCAAAACTTCCTTTATACACTCATGCATATGTAATAAAAAAATAACTAAATAACTTTAAATAACTAAGTAGGCTTTAAAGATAATTTGCCACAGGTATGGCCAGAGGTGTGCCTCCCAGATGATCCTAGATCTTGTCAAATTGATACAGGGGTACTTTTTACAACCTCATTCTAAACCTCAGGCTGTGGGCAGAGTATTGGGAATATATAGGAACCCCAAATTCCAGGCACTCAAACTGACTGTCACTTTCATAAAATCCAGGATCATGATGGCATCTGAAGGTCACTTTTGACCCAAAAGGACAGATTTATTGATCAAATTGATGGGAGTGGACATAGGAAAAAATGTAAACAGAGTCCACATGAGGCTCATTTAATGCTCTCCTGGAATGCTCAGTCTTGGCCCTGGCTTGACCCATATTGCCCGTTCTTGGGGGCAACCTCTCTTGTGAGTCCCCCTTCTTCTTCTGCCCTCCCTGGCCCTCCCTGCCTCTCAGACCCGCAGCTCCTGATGCATTGGCTCTGCTGTGTGGCAACACGTGGAACCTTCCACATATGACTGATGTTCCTTCCCTTTCCTGGGAGCAAACTGTCAGGTCACAGGACCTCCAAGATCTTTCCACTCCAGTGTGCTCTGGGGGGACATCTAAGAAAATACTAACCAGAACTTCACACAGAGACTCCCAAGGCCTCATGGACGTTCGAGGACACCAAAAGAGGTGGAAATGGGTGTCACACAAGGCACATGAGCCAGTGTTACCAACATGAGGGCATGCCCAAGGTAAGTAACTGGCATCTGATTGCTTAACAGTAAATAGTTTTGGATTTTGCTTTTGGGGCTTGGCTTTATTTTGTCTTGAAGCAGAGTCTTACTGTGTGTTCCAGGCTAATCTGAAACTTGCTTTGAAGACCAGGCTAGCTCAAACTGAAAATCAAGTGCCAGCCTCCCAAATTGTGGGATTACAGGTGTGTGTTACCACAGCAAGTAGAGATTGTATTCCAGACGGAAGCTGGCAGATCAGTTCTACAAGTCTTTGGCAAGACAACTTACTAAGGACATCCTAGCTGGCATGGGAGAACATGTTGGGAAGCCTTCTGTCTAGATGGCAAGAGGGCATTCGCCACACACTAGTTACCAAGAGGGTAATGAGACACCATCACAGAGACGTGGACAGATGAAAAGAGGAAATTTGCCTCCGGGTGATCTTGAAGATGAGAGCAAAAGGGCCATCCAAAACGAAGTGTGGGAATAAGTATTTTGATAAAGATAACCACACTGAGGGCTGTTAAGATGGTTCAGTAGGTGAAGGAGTTTGCTGCCAAATCTGACCACCTGAGTTTGATCCCTGGCATCCATTTGGCAGAAGGAGAGAACTGACTTCTGGAAGTTGCCCTGCGACTTGTACACATGCATGGTGGTATGTCTGTACCCATGCACACATAAAAAAAATAAACATAAAATTTAAATTATATTTTATATTATGTACAGATTCTAGCACCCTTCCCCTCCTCTTTTTTTGGTTTTTTGAGGCTCTGTTACAGAGCCCTGGCTGTCCTAGACTCAATTTGTAGACCAGGCTGGCCTTAAACTCACAGGGATCCTCTTGTCTCTCCCTCTCAAGTGTTGTGGTTAAAGGTGTGTGCCAACATGCCAGATGCAATCCTAGCACTCGTAAGGCAAGAGGACCAGGAGTTCCAGGTCAGCCTGGGATAAATAAGACTTTGTCTAAAAAGTCAAAACAAACAAAACTTACATTCCTATCATGGATCAGACTCAAAACCTAATGCTAGATGTACTAAAGAACTATGTAAAGCAAATTACAAGAAAAAAAATTCAACCAAACCAACGAACAAAACCACAAACATCAAGAGGAAAACAATGGGGCTACGACCTGGGGATTCTTTTTCTTTTCTTTTTCCTAAGTTGGAGTCCACCCTGCCTGGCAAACACTGATTTTGATTTTTACTTTTTAAAGGACATGATTAAGTTAATTGAGCATCATGCCTTTTTAAACTTCATTTTTAAATGTTTATTATTTATTTACATGTATGTATAAGTGC